ATGCCTTGTAGTGAAACCAAATGCTACGATCTCAGAGCTATGCTATTTTAGTATTTATCGCTTCTAAAACATTGTTCACTATTCATGTGTCTCGAAATCATGAATTTTATTTGAAGTTGAATCGTTCATTTTGTCAACACTAATCACTGATAAATATAACAAGTCATGTTTGGGTACTCCTAGCGTTATACCACAGTCCCTCTATCACTGATTATACGCGTGCAATGTACATGTGTTATTGTACCAATTCTATTCATTTTTTTCCTTCATGCATTTGGAATCTAATCTTGCCTGCTTAATAAACAGGGAATAACTCGTGAAATTCGACAAAAAACTATTAGCACGATACCTTCAAATACTTATTTGCTAAAGTAATATTGAATTTTGTAATTTGTCAACCATTATACAAAAAAAAATGTATATTGTCATTAGCTACAATACCTATGAAATACAATCACTGTAATACATGTATACGCCCCCCTTTTCTTGATAATTGTTAAAAATCAACAAACGAACGAACTGTAATAAACATTGAATTAAGACAAAATGTGTTTTTATTTAGGTGTAAATGTGGTGGACGATGCCAAATATTGCCTACAATAAGAGAATGTGTATGCTGTAGGGAGGTCACTGTTGTTGATGCCAAGTGTTTAGAAGCAGTGTTTGAATTTGGTTTAGAAGAAAGATTGCAATGCATCACGCAACATTCAGGCTTCCAATGTGTTAGTTTGAACAAATTTGTGCTACAAACTGCCTGGTTTCAATACAGGCAGCAATATGACACCCCATTTGATGGTCCTGACCATGAGAGATATCGACATACTGCTTATCGTCAGCTTGCAAGATGGTGTTGGGGTTTTTTAGGAAAAAGTGTCCGTGTAGTTCTTCCTGCTTGTGCTGTTAGTTGCATTCGTGCTCATTTTCCACCACCAGGTCCTGAAGAAAATGCAGTCTACATGGGTCATCAATATTAATCAAATTATAATAATGCATCATTTATAATTGAATTAAAATTTAGATGATTTCTTGCAGTATTTGTTTTCTGTAGTCAATTATTCAATGAAAAGGTAACGAGCAAGTAGTGAACATTTGCAAGCAAAAGCCAGATCCAGATTAGAAATGATCTAGAACTAGTCTTAATCCTTCTATTAACTGAAATCGGCAAATACATCATTTTGCGATATTACAAAGAATTAGACAAACACAGAAATAAAACGATTTCCAACTGCAGTGAATCACTTGCGAACTCAAAGGTGCGCTGATCACTGTCTGTATTTTTCTTTTAATTATGTTGATTGAGACGATTTTACATTATAGTTATAGCTAACAAAAAACTACACTGCAAATGAAACATCTCAAATGCTGTATTGCATTTGAACATGGTCTTTGGTTATTCCTGTAAAAACACTATATTTTGAAAATGAACTAACAATCAACAAAATACTTGCATAGAAACAATGTGCGAATTATTATAAAAACAAGACATTGACAGCAACTAGTTTTACTGTTGTGACATGTAATAAACAACTGTATTAACTCACTCTTGAGTTCTCTCGCCTTTTGAATGTTATTCTTTCTTCAGTTGGTGACAAACTGCTACCCGAATGTATGGTGGGAACAGCCTCTGGGAACAATCTAGGGCGCCTGTAGTAAACAACAACAAAAACTCTCACTATATTTTAGAAATAATAACAAGGTTGACATTATTAACCTTTTGCAAAAATGAAAACTTGTTGAAACGTTCGCATATACAAGTGGTTATTTCTACAATTTCGACCCTCTGTTCTGAAAGGATGCGAAAATCGCTGGTAAACATTTTATATAACCATTCAATTCGAATTCGATCCACGGTTAATAAGGGCGAGAACACGCAATGTAAAACATGCAGTGACCGCGATTGCTAGTACCGGTAACATCTGTAACTGTCTGTCGATATATTGTTTACATTTCATGTCGACGCCACAGATTTAGCAAATGAAAAACAACGTCAACAATTATCTTTTCGCAAGAAAGCTTTTGCGGAATAAGACCATTGAAAACTATGATGAATTGTTCGAAGCTTTCAATAATGTTGAATCGTATGTATTATCGTAAAAAAGGTGGTACCGAACTACGAGTATTTTACGCGTCATTTTTCCCGCGTCCACCAGCTGGTACCGTTGTTACAACAAACCAGACAGTGACAGTAACCCAATGATCAAGGCGCAGTTTACGACAGAAATAGCAAATAAAATACATTACAACTAAAGACGCTATAAAGCTATAAATATAGGATCAAATAAACTTCACTTGTCGACTACGGCGACGGACACAAAAATAGATACGGTCTAGATTATTATCAGCGGGCATACAACGACCGTCACGGTCGAAGTGCCGGCATCACGGCATATCGTCACCACTCCCAGTGCCTGAGGCAGTGATGTGCTACGAGGCTCAGATTAGCATAGAAATACACAAATGCATAAATGAGAAAGTAATAAAATAAACTCACCCACTTGAAAACCCTAACGAAGTTTTCAAAGAGCTGTCCCGAAAACAATCCGTGGTAAAATGTTTGGCGCAAACCACCGCCGACTCGCCAGGGTCTACGCGGTCCCAGTCTGCTCTTTTTGTTCTCACAAATTTCACCCATTGCCGACGAAATCTTCCAGATTTTGGGAAATTATGAAGCGACACGCCATCCTTATGGGTGGCATTGCAGCCATATACGACGCACCTTTTTACCATAGTCTACCAATATTTTTGAAAGCTAGTTCTATGAAATTAAACCTAGCAGACAACATTGAACACCGGGGAGTTCTCCTTATGACGTCATAATCCGAAGTTTCCCGAAGCCATGTTTACAAATACGTGTTGACTAATTATGTCTTTATGAGACACATATTTGCGTAATGTAGGACCGTATATAAGGTGGAAAATAAAAATAAAATCATGGAATAATGTCTGGAGCCGATTTATTGTCAAATTAAAACATGCACATGTACTTGCAATTTACACTTTAAAGGTGAAACTACCATAGCTTGCTAATCACAGA